TTTGCTCTTGAGAAAGGTCCCTCAAAGATGCAGTGGGTGACTGGGAGGAGAGTGGCCATGAGGTAGTGGGTAGGAGACACCTTTTTACACCTGCTGGAACTCATGAACTCTGGCGGTAGGCCATAAAAAGCTGCTGGAACTGCGAGAGCTTCAAGGAAACCAGAGTTGTCAGGTGTTTGCAATGGGACAGACAGGATGTGTTGGGGGGGGCAGCATCTCAGCAGACGTTACCAAGATGGCTTTCCTAGCATGTGCAGTGACAAACAGGGACATCCCAGACAAACCAGAACAGATGGTCAACCAAGTTTGGATAACCAAGCAAGACAGGCACACCGGGATGGATCTCATGGCTCAGGGAAGACTCTCATTGACTCTCAGGCACAAGATGAAATACCTACTCTGGCGTCATACTGCAGGCAGTTTGTGTAAAGGCTGGAGAAGGAGAGAGGAGAAGACACAGACCCGGGCTTACGAAACAGGACCACAAAGGGCAATAAGCCCCAGTGACACTGGGGCTACCTAGAAGAGAACCTTCTTCAGGCTGTCCTTGGTCAGTGCCAGTCAGTGGCCACATGGGAGATGTCCCACTCTTCCTGCAGATGCAGATCTGGGTACCTGCCTGAGGTCCCCAGTGAATCTCAGAAAGGGAAAAGGTCTGACGCTTGCTGTATGGGGTAAATGATGATTACTGGGGTTAGATATCACTGCATCCACATACATCCATGGTAGTCATAAGGAAACTGGCTGGCCTGGTAGAATTTCCACCTAACCTGCCTCTGGATGTGTGCATTTTGGTATTTTACAGAAAGACACATTCTAGGTGAACAGACACAGACAACTGTCTTCTTGAATGACTTTGCTCTGTAAAATTACCTTAAACTCACCTCTAAAATTTCTTGTCTATGTGTTGGGATATTCTTGTGTTTTAGAAGATGGGCCCAAGTTTTGCATTTTAAAAAGAGTTATCTGTTTATATATGTATTATTTGAGTTACTGTTTTATATAAACATACCAATTTTAATATTTGTTTTTTTCAAGACAGGGTTTCTTTGTGTAGCCTTGGCTGTCCTGCAACTAGCTCTTTAGATAATACTGACCTCAAACTCAGAGATCCACCTGCTTCTTCCTCCCCAGTGCTGGGATTAAAGGAGTGTGCCACCACTGCCCAGTATAAACATACCAGTTCTTAAAATATTTGGCGAGGTAACCCAGTCACAAAAAGAGAAACATGGCATGTACTATCTCATATATGGATTTTAGACATAGATCTGGGGAGTGCCAGCCTACAATCCCATAGCCAGAGATTCTGGGAAACAGAGCCTTCATTCAGCGGCTGATGGAAGCAGAGGCAGACTCCCATGGCTAAGCACTGAGCTGAACTCAAGAAAGCCAGTGACAGAGAGGGAGGACTGATGACCAAAGGGATTAAGACTGGGCTGGTTTAACGCCCAGAAACAGCTGACCTGACAAGGGTTAACTCTTGAATCCCAGGCATCAGCCTGGGAATCCAGCATGGGACTGATCAAGACCCCCTGAATGGGGGTGTCAGTGAGGAGGCCTAGGTAATCTATTGAGCCTTGGGCAGTAGTATCCTGGGTATACTAATGGACTTTGGGCTCCCATCCAACAATGTGAGGTGCACTCTCACCCTGAACTCTTGGGGGAGGGTCTAGGCCCTGCCCTGGATGAAATGACAGACTATGATCACCCCCATGGAGGGCCTCACCCTCTCTGGGGAAATGAGGGGATATTGGGGGAGTTGGTGGGAGGGCATGGGAGAAGGGGAGGGAAACGGAGAGGGACCTGGAATTGACATGTGAAGCAACCTTGTTTCTAATTTAAATTTAAAAATAAAAATATATTAAAATAAACCTCAGGAACAGTAAAAAAAAAAAAGAAAATATTTGGTCACTGGGCAGTTAATAATGCTGACTGCTCTTACAAAGAAACTGGGTTTGGTTCCCAGCACCCACACAGCTGCCTGTAACTCCAGCTATGGGGGATCTTAACACCCTCTTCTGGCCTCTGAGGGCTCCTGTATGTACATGAGGCACATCAGCTCACACAGGCTGACAGGGATACATATTAATATATCTTCTTTAAGAAAAGAAAATGTTTGCAGCCAGACATGGTGGCTCACACCTCAGCACTGGAGAGCCTGAGGCAGGTGGACTGTTATGAGTTCACAGTTAACCTGAGCTACGTAGAACCAGGCCACCCAGAGGTGTGCAATAAGTTCTCTTTCAAAAACCAAACAAAATTGTTAAAAGGAAACATATTTCCCAATTACTCTGCTAAGAGAGAGCAGAGTGGGAAAACAATGGCTTGGGGTTTATTTTAATGTCGTATTTTCTTAGAATAAATAAAAAGAGGGTCCTGCCAAACAAAATGGTCTGACTGGGCACTGTAGCTCTTTCCTGTAACCTGTCAAGTCTCCGTGCATATACTAAATCATTATTAAAGCAGAAGCGGAATTACACTGACATGTCAAATCTCCTATTATTCAAATTCAATGGAATTCCCCTCCCCAAAGACTTAAGAGGGTAAGTAGCTATTTTCTGGAAATGCCATTTTAGCATGACCTTCGTCTCAACTATGCTGGAGTAAAAATAAAACCCACTCACTGCAGCTTAAGAACCCATTCATGGAGGGTTATGTCAAGGGCTGCTGTTGCGGAGTGGGGGGGGGGTCTGTGAAAAGTTCATCAGTCCTTGAGACTGAGAAAACGCACCAGCAAAGAAACTTCCAGGTTAGTGGGTGATAGACAGCATAATCCCAGAAGGTGTGTAGTCCATTCTCAACTTCCAACCGCTACAGTACCACCAGAGCGACCATCAGTCTGTGCATTACGGATCCCTAGAAAAACCCCAATTGAGGGCGGAAGACCTCCCCTTCTAGAAAAACTGTGGCTTTAAACAACTGCCCCACACAGCTGAGGGATGATGACAAAGAGGGTTAAAGACCTTGCTGCCAAAAGCCGACAACCTGAGTTCAAGCCCCAGGACCACACGGTGGAAGGAGGGAACCGGCCCCCTCAAACTGTCTTCTGACCTTGACACGTGTGCTGTGGTACCCACAGCTCCCACCCCAAATAGAAATGTGCAAAATGTAGTTTTAAAAATGTCCCTGTAGTAATAGATTAGGATTTGCATTTTTAAAATCTTTACATCTTCCGGGCCATTTGACCTTGATCTCAAAAGGTAGGTAAGCGGGACTGTGGCACACAGCGTCTTTACAGCCTAACCAAGAAATTCGATTTTATCTCTCTCTTTTTCAATTACAGGGAGTGGGGATGGGACTTTCCTATAAGTTTGGTAGTTTTCTTTTTCATTTTTCTTCTTCTTTACAAATCATCCCAAATTATTCTCATCACGTCCTAGGACATTAAAACTATGTTTGTTTTGGTTGTTGTTGTTTTTTTGTTTTTAGACTGTTTGTGAGATTCAACCTCCTTTGGCACCCAAACCCTTGAAATGATCCAGGAAGCCAACACTATCCATCCAAAAGTTTTCATCCTAGGCCTTGTGTGGATTCAGTCTAATCACGACGGGGGAAAGGGACTCTCAGCAAGTCAGAGCAGACAGAGTATTAGCACTCTTAGTCTTCGGGTGGTATATATTATATTATATTCTTGTTTAATTTTTAAACCTCCTGGGGGAGCCTCATAAAATGAACAGAAAGCACTGACAGCAATGTGGCCTCTCTTCCCATTTGTCCCTCCATTGACCCACAGAGAATGCTGCCTCTGTTTAAGGCTGTCTGTGGATGAGAGACTGGTTATTTGCTCTGAATCCTGCCTATGGATTGGTTCAAACTGTGGGAGGAACTGCACCAAATAGCCTCATGGGCATCCCGCTCACTCCCAGGGCACCTTTTTTTCAGCAGCCAAAGCCAAACGCGCTTTTTCCACACCTCTCTTCCCCTCTTGCCTTTCACCCCTCAGGTGTTTCCCGAGTCAGAGAGAGCAGCCAGTCAGCACCCACTCAGGAAGCTATCACCTCCACAGCATCCTCTGCCAGGAGTATTCATGTCACAGGCATGTCTGCCTTACAGAAACCCAACTCTCAGGAAGGGACGCTGGTGGAGACAACCTGAGATGGAGTTTGCTCACCCTAGTCTCTTCTCACTTCTACAAGGACGGAGGCTCAGCCATGATAGAGAAAGCACTCAGATGAGATTTCACTAATACGCTTCTGTGTGCCACTGGAATTTACCAACGTAATAACATGATCTCATAAAAATAGTGCTGCCTTTGAACTGTTAAAAATAAAAGCAGATGCTTCCCCGTGTCGGCCGCCCTTCCTGTGTCACGCTGAGCCTGGATGTTTGCATTATCAACTGCCACCAGGAATCTTTGGCCTTCAAGTAGCAATTTCTCTGTGACAGTGGTGATGAATAACCAGGCAGCACGGTGCTTTATCTGGGCCTCAGAGGGCTCAAATATTACCACAGAAGGCTCCAATTTTCCACTTAGGATCACTTCACTGACTCTTCAAGTGGGATAAAACAACATGAACTTTTTCTGTTGTTGGTAAGGCTCTGATCGTTTATCTCAATGAGTTTGTTGGCTTCTAAGTACAAGGCTATCTTAGGTCTATTTTTTTTAATTGAAAGGCAATTTCAACAATATTTATGTTAAAATTCAGATTCTAGGACCAAGGAAATAGCTGTATAGTGCTTGCCTTGCAAGCATGAGGACACAAATTCAATGCCCAGAATCCACATAAAAAGCTGGACATGGTAGCATGTTGGAGAATGGGAGTTTGGCGGGTTCCAGGGGCTTGCCAGCCACTCAGCTTAACCTGTCTGGTGAGTTTCAGGCTGCTGAGAGATTTGAGGGCACCTGAGGGATGAATGCTACCTCTCATTATCCTCTGGTCTTCACACACATGGACCCACACATCGACAGATGGACAGATAGGCAGGCAGGCATGCATGCATGCATATCCAGAAAATGGAAATATAAAAGGATTTGATTCTATAACCCAACTGCACCTTACCCGTGCCAGGCAGTCACTGGACTGGATGTCTGTCTTCCCACTCTTTGAGACACGGCGTTTGTCATTGCTGGTACCCGGAGGAGCGTCTGTATTTGGAATTCTGAGTTCTGCTCCTCTGTCCACTTCGGAACTCTCCAGATGGGGTCCAGCCACATCCTTGAGAGAATGTGGACCATTTTCTAGTTCAAAGTCATGGCCATTTCCAAGTTCGGGGTCTGTACCATTCTCCAACTCTGAGCTAGGATCATCCGTCACATCACAGCCACCGCTGCTTTTGGGTTCTTCAGGGGCCTTGTTAATAGGGGGTCTGGAAATGACCCCAAACTTTCTCGTTCTTTTCCCCTTTTTTGAAGTTTGGTCACCCAGTTCCAAGGTAGGTGTCTCTCCTGGTTCTGAGCTGTTGCCGTCGTTGCCATTGTAAGTCAGGTGGGTTTTATGCTTGAAGCGCCGCAGCATGATCAGGTAGATGAAGCCGCCATTCCAGCACTGTTCAGCCAGGTAACTGTAACACACAGACATGCATGGTTAGGCACCAACCCTTCCCTGGACACAGTGTCAGCATCCACCCAGGACCTGGTGACCAAAAACCTGGCCAAAGGACTGAGGCACTGTCCTTCCCAGTGGGCAGCTCCAACCTTCACTATATTCCACTGTTGATGTTGAAATGATCCCCAATACCTCAAGCAAACAGGAGATCCCACAAACTAGAAACTTCTAATTTGTCTCTCCTAGAATCTACCTCGAGTCCCTAAAAAAAGAAAGAAAATTCTTGGGGGCTGGAGAGATGGCTCAGCAATTAAGAGTACTCCTCTAAGGGAACTGGGGTTCAATCCAACACCCGTGTGGCAGCTCACAACTAACTCCAGTTCTGGGGGAATCTGGCATCCTCATACAGACACACATCTAGGCAAAACTTCTAGGCACATAAAAATAAGTCAAAAGAAAACTCTGACTGAAGTAGATTCTACTATTCTATTGCATAATAGGGCAACTATGGTTGACAGCATTTAGCTGTATGTTTTAAAATAACTAGGAGAGGGTTCTGAATGTTCCAAGAGAAATGGTTAGTACGGGAAGTGATAGGTGCCAATTACCCTGATATAATCATTATGATGCATATTTGAAAATGTCCTGTAGGGATACATGATTATGCACATTTAATCAGGCAAAGAGGCTGAATGAAGAATATTCTTCACTCCTTTAACAATCTCTTGCATTAGAGTCACACAAGACTCCCATCTGTGTGTGGCTGATGAAGAATACTACAATTCCCAAAGTAAAGAACAGAGAGTGGAGGCTGGTTTGAGAGATGGCTCTGTGGTCAAAAGCGCTTGTTGTTTTTGCAGAGGACAAGGGCTCAGTTCCCAGCACCACTTGGTGGCTCACAACCATCCATAACTCCAGTTCCAGGGAATCTGAAGCTGTTCTGACTTCTCAAGGCACTAGGTACATATATTGTTTACATACATACAGATGGACAAAACACTCATACACATCAAAAATAAAATGGATTGAAAAAGAGAGACAAAACAGGCCAGAGAAAGTATGAATTCTGATTTTAGATTGAAAAGGAAATGAGCAGTACTATAAGAACTTCTGTTCAAGGCTGAGCATGGATGGGCATTAATATGTTGCTTGCTAAGGAAGCAACCTGCAGACATATGAAGGTTTTTTTTCTTCTTAATTGTTTTAGTTTGGGCTTTTCATATCATACATGGACTGCCATTCTCAGGGCATCATATTTAGAGAAGAAAAAGTCATCAACAAAGCTGACAAGGACAAAAAAACACGTTGGAAACCATCAACCAAGAGTAGTTGGAGAAGTAGGGGACCCTCAAAACAGAGAAGGCAGGTTATAGTCACCTTTTCATGTATTTGAGGGCTGACAAATATGGAGAAGCAGGAGACAATAAAACTTAGAGAATGTATATGAAGGGTAATACAGCATCTATTCCAGAGCTTAAAGAACATGAAGACATGAAGTGAGTGATGGTTGGCATTTGGGGTCTCAGATCATTACAGCTACAGTAAAGACTTCCTCAAAGTCAGGAAATGATGACAGGCTGGGCCCTCCCCTCCCCAAGAAGATAAAGAAGTACAGACATCCCCAAAGAATCCTGGGAAATCCTATACCACTGGAATCTTGCCACCTCCTACACATTGCCGGTTCCCAAGCAAAGAGTGTCAACAACAAAATCCTTCATAAACCCAACCTGCTTCTGACTTTCCTACGTGGACAGACAACAAACAACCACCATCACCACAACAACAAAAGAACCAGAGACTATGTGGCCTACATTCTGCATCTTAAGTGAGAAATGAGAAAGAGGCTTCGGAAGTGTACCAAGCCACCTGCTCTCCCTCGAGGCAGTGCTGGCTCCTAAGAAAAGAGGATGCTGGGTAAGCAGATGTTAAGATGCCCTCCTGTGATTTTTGTCACCAGGGAAAATCAGATGGGAAAGATGAGTTGTCAGCATGTGGGAAGGAGGGTGGGCCATCTTTCCTCTCATCTCACCATGGGCGTCTATATGACAGCAACATGCTGGAGACAGAAAGGGAAGACACAGCAAATAGCTTACTAGGAATATGCTAGAGTCTGGCCCAAAGGATTCCCCACGTGTGGATATGGTTCATGATAGAATGCTCGCTGAATATGTGTGAGGCACTGGATTCTACCCCAGTATAACACACACACACACACACACACACACATCAAAAAACCCAAAACCCACGCTTGTGTGTGTGTGTGTGACATGCACAGATATTTTCTTTAGTACTAAAAAGTCCAGCCCATTGTTTTGACCTAAAATATCTTTTTCCAAATGTGCTCTCATGGATCTCATGGAAGCTCCAAGAGCATAGGAAGGTGCCTGTGATGGAAATGACATCTCACTTTTACTACAGGGTCTATGCTGGGCAAAACAATAAGTCCAAAAATAGTTTATCTTCAGTGTTGCACCACCTCTCTGCCTTCTTCTGGCTTCCTAGTAATAAATAACACCTTGACACAGCAAAGGAACTGAGAGACAGGTTGTTTTATCCCTTCCCGGACTCTGGATTTTATAAGGCAATCTCAAAGACAATGGGTAATTAATGAATTATGGACCCCATAATAAACCAGCGAGAAAGACACATTTCCTCAGAATTCTTAAATCACCTTACATCCAACAGAACCATATTCTCTATCTATAAGCATCCAGATGATTCACCTATCCTTTCTAGTACTTTCCCGTAATTCACGCCCTCCAACACCTTTTATGTTCGGTAGGGTTCTTATCTAGCAGCAGAGGGGTGTGTGTGTCTATGTGTGTTTGTGTGTGAGTATGTATGTGTGTGTAGATTGTATTTATGTGTGTGTAGGTGTATATGTAGGTATGCATGCACGTGCGTGTGTGTGTGTGTGTGAGTATGTATGTTTGTGTAGATGTATATGTATGTGTGCATAGGTGTATATGTAGGTGTGCATGAGTGTGTATGTAGGTGTGCATGAGTGTGTATGTAGGTGTGCATACGTGTGTGAGTGTGTGCACATGAAGGACCAAGGACAGCCGTGGGTGTCATCCCTCAGGTGCTGCTACTCCTTTCCTTTCCCTCTGACAAGATGTCTCGCTGTCCTGGTCCTCCCCATGAAGGCTAGGTGGGCAGTAAGGCCTATCTTCCCGGTACAGGAATTACAACTGTGTGTCATTAGGTCTGACAATTTTTCCTTGTACTGATCTCCTCATTGTTGCATAGCAAGCCCTTTTCTAACCTAGCTGTCTTTCCACCTCAAGCACTGGAAACCTTACACTGAACTTCAAAATCAGTTAGCTTAGCTTTGCGTTGTTTTAACAGAGATATGATCCCTGGCTCTTCATAAAGGAAAGGGGTTTGTTTTGGCTCAGGATGCTACTGGCTGGGGAGTCTAGGTTGGGTGGGCACGTCTCACAGGGTCTTGTGCTGTTTTAACTCATAGCGGAACAAAGAAGGGCCAGTGAGTCCGTGTGGAGAGGGAGACAAGAGGTGCTCTCACTGTGTAGCAGTCAGCTCTGGAGGTGACCCATCCGGTCCCATGAGAATCAGTGACAAAGGCATGAACCCACCCACTCACAGCTCAAACGCCTCCCACCAGAGTACCTCCAAGCCCAGCTGTGTAGGGCAACCAGCCTCAGCCTGAGCTTTTCGGGAATTGTGGTGCTGCAGCTGAGAAAGGATAAATTGAAAGCGATGAGTGACATTTGAGGTTTAGAAAAATAGATTTCCTCATCACATAAAAGGTCTGGGGCTTTTTTTCCACTTCTCTATGATATTATCTTCATTCTCACTCCCAAAATTTAGATTTTTTTGGCAAATAAATTATTAATTCAATTAAAATTTTACTTTAACTTTCATAGGATGACTTTAAAATGAAGAAAGGTCAACATATTTGATAATGAGGTTTTACTATATTTTATTTGATTTTAAATTGGGTGTAGCTGGGCAGTGGTGGCACATGCCTTTAATCCCAGAACACAGGAGGCAGAGGCAGGTGGATCTCTCTGGGTCTGAGTCCAGCCTGGTCTACAGAGATAGTTTAGGACAGCCAGTGCTACATAAAGAAAACCCATCTTTAAAAATAAAGGCAACAACAAAAAATTGTGTCTGTATGTATCTGTGTGTGAGTGTGTCTGGCCTGTGCCTGTGGTGGCCAGAAGAGGGCATCAGACCCCCTGGAGATGGAGTTACAGGAAGTTGGACCCTCTTGACATGGGAGCCTTAAGAACAGCACATCTCCAGCCCCCTTCTTACTGATCTTTTTCTGAAGTCACCTCCTCGTTCCCTGGACCACACAGGTGTCTTATCCACACTGAAGCTCAGAAGATCTCTGTCCCCTGACACACTGCCCAGTTCTGGAGTCTTTGCTCTCTGGTGGACGGGGATGGTGGAAGGAGCAGTCAGGTGAGAGACCACAACCAAATGTTTAGCACAACAGTTGACCTACTGACCACGTCAGCTAATTGACCAGCAAGTCGGCAGTAGAGACAGCATGGCCACCCAGACGAAGGGATGGTCCACATCCTGGGTAAAGCAGCATGGGACGGCTCAAGAGCCCCTCATGCTACCGAGAATGGTGCACAATTTAAAACCATTAATTATTTCTGAAACTTGCCATTTACTCTTCTCAGAACAGGTGGCTGTGGGTAACACAAACTGCAATAAAGCAAGACTGAGCACAAGCAGAGTAAGAATTAGTGTACCATTATTCCCGTGAACAATGAACTGTCATCCTTGACCCAGAAACCTCGTTTCTTTTGTCATCATCATTTATGAGTCTACAGCAGGCTAACCAGTGTCCCACCAGTCAGGCAAAACCAAAGTCCTTCGCTTACAGCAGAACAATACACAGAATAGCTGGTTGATAATTGGTTTTGTTCTTAACACCAGGCTTATAAAAGCTCAACATTTTTACGGGCACCGGTGGCTAGAAACGTAAATCCACATGTATCTGAAGTCTATTCAATATGCAATGTCTACAGCATCCTG